CTGGGTGCCGGTAATTATTTTCAAATCCTTGGATCACGTAGAGCCTTTTATTGCAAAGCCTATTCTCTGACATAATGAATTGAATGAGTGCAAATAGAGTTACTGGAGTTAACAAAACGAGCAGCCACAACAGCACGCATGGGTGGGGGCGCTAAAAAGGGCGGCCTTCCGCATGGTATGTTAGCGGCCGGTGTTGAAGGGATTACCAACGATGGAATTTTTCCAGCCACTAAACAGAAAAACATGATGAAAAAAATGGTGAAATGTAGTCCGAGGATGCGGACATTCAAAGCCACACAAACGAACGTCTGGTATCCTAGCATGCAATTTTTATGCGACCCCGTGCGCCAGCCAATCGGAGTCGACTTTAGAAACTGTGACGTCGTTTCGATCAGAAATTCGGACTTATCTGTTGATGTATTAATTTACGGGTTACGGAAGACTCGATAGAAAGCGCCCGGCCCGCTGAATGGTCACAATCTGGATGTGAAGACGTAGTCTTGTTTTGCATAATTAATCGCCGAATCTGCGCGAATATCATAGCGGCTAATACATAGACCAGTGACGAAATTGCAATTTTCCAAGGGAATACAGACATAAATCCAATTCAAAAAATCTTAATTCACTATTTATTATCACCCATAAAGTAATCCTGCAAGTTTCCATCTCTATTGAAAACAGACCCCAACTCAATTGCGTAATAGGGTGACATTCCGGTCAATTTTCGTCAAAGTTATCAAAACAAAACAAAACAAAATCAAACTTAGACCGCTTTTACATGAGACCTTCAAGTGGTGAGTCACCAAACGGACTTAAAGGGAAGATACAACATTTGCAAACATCAAAAAACGAAATGATCAAATTATCACGAAATACCTTACTGAATTGTTAGGGACTGACAGTCCAAATCATCCTTTAAAATCGTGGCTCCTGGTGTGCTGACATTTTCAAGAAAAACTGTATTTTTCCAACGCTGGTCGGCCGACCAGCGTTGGAGTAAACTGTTTTTTTTTCTTCAAAAACTGTCCCTAAGTTTTCATATTTAGTTATTCTGACTTTTCTTTGCAATTGATTACACACCTGTGAAGGGGTACAAGCCTGCTAGACTGATCTCTGAGCATACAATTCCCCAATTGTATTAATTGCTCTGTTTCATTTTAAGTGGGGTCAGGGAACCAGACTACAAGAACATGATAGGTTTTCTTGGGTTTTTCCAGCGTCTACAAGCCCAAAACGTGAAACAAGTCGGTTTAACAATATTGTCTATAACATACTAATCCTCCAAATCCATTTAATTCTGAAAATTACAGCAAAAGCAAATGTTGTACATTCCCTTTAAGATACAATTTTGAAGATATTCCTATTATTCAAGTCTTGAATAGGTAGGCGTAAGTAATTTTGGTCCCGTTTACAAGCATATCACATGAAAACCTCTTGCACAGTGCTTACTTTATTTCCAAGCTCGTTTCCAATAGTAAGCCCTGGATAGGAAACGTTCTTCCTGTATCCTGATTCGATACCGCAATTTGCCAGTAATGGATTTGTATCGTGTAGTTGGTGTTGTTATTTCCAACGTGCATTACGTGTTTTCACGATTATTGTAATTATAACGTCCACGCCTTCTCAATAATACTCCTTTTAGTCCAGTTTGCTCATATCAATGTGAAATGTGATACTGCATATCGGCGGGCCAGATTGTAACATTTTAACAAAACAAATCGTGCTTTCATAACTCTCACGGCGCGACGATTTGATGCTGTTTTTACCCCAGACACGGCATTCAAAAACAAACGCTAATGTAACGCACATGCAAGCACCGGACTACTCCTCATTTGCATACGCGTTCAAAAATCTTGCACATGCAAATGATCCAATACCAGGGTGAGAGAGCAGGTAGTGGTGGGCGCGTACTGCTCGACTCCCTGGGGGCGAGGTTGGTCACATGCAGGATAAGGAGCCGAAGACGGCGCAACGGGCAATATTTTATCGAATGAGGGCGCACTAGCGACGCCATTTTCTGCATACAGAGAAATATCCGACATGCGTTGAAGTTTGAATTTTATATCAATTTAAAAATCAAAGATTGTAAAAATGTATAATTTTTTAATCACAGCGACATGTAAACGTACGTCAATAACATGGAATACGGGTGTTTTATTCCCACAAAACCGATTTTATTTTGATCCACTCAAATTAAACTATCATTTTCAAACTACATTGTATGTTGAAACCCAAGTCGGTTGACCAGTTTCCACGACATTCACCTTTAATGAAACGAATTTAAGTGCAGACACGTTCTGTCCCAGATTCCTTCCAATGGAGATAAATGTAACCTTCGATTCAGTGATGTGTACACTGGATGTGAAAAAAAAATGTACTATGCAAACACCTGTGAATAGTATCTCTATTATAATGCAAACAGCACGGTAGCCGGGAAAATGAATCAGGTACAGGAATTGCATTGTGTGGTAAAGCGGTTGCTCGCATCATGGAGCTCCATGCTCGTGTAGTCTCCAATAGGTAAATTGAAAGGACCGTGTGATATAATTTATTTCAAATGCAGTCCTTGAAAATGCACTTTTGTGTCCCATTTAACTTTATTTTCAATTTTCATTTTGCCAATTTCAAGGGTATCGGTACCTTTTGGTTTTTTTTATGGTAATGCAAATATCTATATTCATAAGTTAACGTGCGAAGTAATTTTAGGCAGAATCCTCAATGTAGCAGGTATTGCAGCACTAACAGTTGCCAGAATTTCGAATAATTTGCTATATTATATTTTGAATAATTTTCTTTTCTTTGGAGATTCGTTGTTCTTTCGGTAGCCTACTTGACAGTAACCCAATGAGCAAACTTTTCTCACAGATGTATTCAATGAGCAAACTAAATGACATCACATGCACAGCAACAGCGCCTTGAGTTGCCAGGAAAGCGTGGACAATTTGAAATGTAGTGCACTTTTCAATCAAATTTACCAAAAGGGATGTCAAATAGTATTCATACATATAAGAGGAGTACAAAATTGCACAAAATATATTCTTCAGTAAAATTCATGTCATGATCCCTTTAAATTCATGTCATTGTTTCTTTTTAGACGTTTGTTAATTTGAAAAGTTTGTTCGTTTAAACTGAGTCTGTTGTAAATAATCAAGTTTGCCTTGTCCGTTGGTGGTATATAGAAGGAGGAGATTAGATACCAGTACCTGTGATCAGGCATTATATTGCTAAACGGTTATATTGCTTTTAAAGTTAACCGTGTAGACCCGTATTTTAAAGCACATGGGAACATAAGTTATTTGAAGATGTCAGTTACACTTAGGGTACGAGTCTCAGTATATTAATCGCTTAGAAACGAAATCACATCACATCTGTATGTCTACAATATCAAACTTGTGTATCAACGAACAAAAAAGTATCATCGTCTGGAAGACGGCGACTGTTAATTAACTCTTGCGTAAATTCTGAAAAGGACTAAAGTTTGCGGTCGACCTGTATGAAGTTTATGTCTGTCCGCACAGTGGTCTGAATTTTTTTAATAAAAAGTATTAGCGCCCTCTTGCACATGGAATAGTTGTTCCGGTTCCACTCCGCTATATTTTATTTCAAAGTTGGAGCCATCAGGGTTTTTTTTATATGCAATAGCGCCCTCTTGCAGATCGGTTAAGAGTTGCAGCAACAAGTGGCGTCTGTTTTGATAGCTTATTGAGGGCGCCCTCAGTTTAATTGTTAAAACTGTGGAATATGGAAATTTAAAGGGAAAATAATGCACTTCTATGACAATTTTTCTAAATAACTAAATGTAGCGGGAAAATAATCATTTTCTATTTCTCTCTATAAGAAAACTCGCCTCATATTCCAACATGGGCGACTTTATTTTTTAAGATGGCTACCTACATGTATTTCTTTTTCTTTCCTTTTTTTGACGTGGGAAATATAAATTTAGTCAAAGTAATTAAAAATAAAACGAACCAGAAACAAATTAAGATGCTAGAAAACGAACTTTTTTTCGAATCCCCAAATGAAAAACAAAAGATTGATAAAACAAAGTGTCCTTGTCTAGCAAATTTGAAAAAACATTTTCTCAAATTGTATTAATTTCAATCGATATACATCAAGGCTTTATTTCGAATAATAAAAATTACAATATATCACACCTTGAGATGAAAGTTTTACGTACATGTATATACATGAATAATGGCGAAAAGTGAATAGACTACATGAGATATTTTGTCTACAATTTAAACAATGAAATGTATAAACATATATTATACAGCCTAAAAAAATGAGTCATAAATTGACAGTTTCAATCGTTTTCAAATGCACCAATCTAATTTCATTATCCGATGGCTTTAATAGCAATGAACATCACACAGCTCTTGTCCGCTGTTATCCATACAAGGGTGGATCCAGGGGGACCAACGGAGCCTTGCCCCCCCCCCCCCCCCAAAAAAAAGAGCCAATTTTGTTTAGTGACGTCACAAAAAAGGCAGCCACTGAGTACACCACTATTATTAATTAAAAGAAATTGGTTCGAGTGATCAGAAACTACTTCAGATCGCACCACAGAGCATCTAAAATCCATTTTTCGGGGCCATTAAGCGGGCCCGAACCCCACGTCGTAAATTTTGGACCCACTGTTTGTTGGGGACATTATTTTTGCCCCCCCCCCCCCCAAAAAAAGAATTGTATTGAGATCCGCCCTGGGATCCACACATACACGGTGTTCGGTACACCCAAAGACTATACATCGATTGCATTCGGCAGACATCTTGGAGGTGTGTTTTAGGTTAATACATTAACAATGAAATGCACAAGAGGTCGCTACTCTTTCGGATCCCTGTTGGACAAAAACGCCACATCAAAGACTGCTGCCGTGCAAAGCAAGGGCGGATCGGGGGGGGGGGGGCAAGAGGTGCCATGCCACCCCCCCAAAAAAAAAACCCCAAACGAACCCATTTTTTTTTTTAAGTGACGTTGCAATAGAGGCAGGCACTGCGTACACCACCATCTTTTCCTTTGGGACGCACTTTTTTGGGGACCAGTTCAGACAAGTTAACAGCTATCAATCAACAGCTTCAAATAAACAATATATAAACGTCATATAAGAAATTCCATCTTGTTTGGTTAAACGCACCTCCATTTCTGTACAAAGTTTCGATCCATCAGTTTTGTTTGCGCAACTAGACTTTCATTTGAATATACATTTTTCTTCGAACCTGAACTTTGAGCACAATATAAAGATTTTGCCATAATTCTCGACGTACAAAGAGTCCAATAATATATGCAGCGTTAAATAAATAGAAAAGATAACACTTTATATATGAGTCTGCTCTCTTGTTTTATACTTAAAATACAGAATGAATAGTAAACAACTAGTTTGGATTATCATTGAAATACTATAATGAAACAGAACAGAAATTGTACTGAAAAGGTTCTTCACACTGTATCAACAGGCAGTTCTGTCAAGAAAGTTGCTAACAACTTCATTTTCCTAAAAGTATGTATATTTTTTCTGATTTTAAAAGACACCAAGTGTTAAAATTGAGGTACAAAACAAACCGAAATATTGATCTCACTAAAGTAAAACGCTGATACTTTTGTTAGACATTATTTTACTGTGACTCGTGCAATACACTCCACATTTCGAAATCGTCACTAAGTTCTCATGTGTGGTTAATTAGGGCATCGCCTGAGAATGCTGTTTTAAATATTGTCCAAAATGCAAATCTTCGAAAACGCGCTCTCTGTTATCCTTTTAATGACTTAGATTATATATATTTTTTAAATACATGTACTTACATATCAGAGTTGGTTTGTGTTTTTGGTTGTTTTTACATTAACACTATAAATTAGCAAACAAAGAACAAAGATTTAAACTACTTTTGAATTTGTGATATATTAAACAATACCTTCATGAACAAGGCAAAATATTATATTCTAAATATGTGTAGCCGTTATATTTACCGATCAATCAATCAATCGATCGATCGATAACAGGATCCATCATTAGACGAATTATGTTATAAACAATCAATACTGAAGATGAATAAACCAGGGTTTTTAAGCTCCTGGTGCTTGAAAGAAAATGCCTCCCGAATTCGTTCATGATCGATCTTGTCTAACTGTGATGAAATCAGCACATGGCACCAATTAAGTCGCAAATACAACTTTGGAAAACATTGACGGAACTCTGCAAACCTAAATCTCTCTCAACAACTTTGCCCCCAACAGCCCCCATTTTGAGAATTGAGGCATGTAGCAATAATACAAAGCACTCATTGCAACTTGTTTGAGAATGGCACCAGAATCTGATTCGATCATCAATTAACAAATTGATTTAATTCTTCATTGCAAAACTAGAAAAACATATACTATCGTATCGAGAAGAGTTTCTTTATGTTTTGCCTCAGACCAAGACGTCGCCCGAGCCAGCGTCAGCTGACGAGTTGGGTTCGTCCGCCTTCGGCGCGGGTTCCCGGCTTACAACTTCGTTCAAGATACTACAAACCTCCACATCCTTCAGCTCAGCTTCAATGTCTATGTCAAAGTTCAGCAGGGTGGGGTCCGAGAACTCCATCATCCTCTTAGAGAACTCCTCGAACTCGTGCGGGTCTGATGCTGGCTCATCCGCTGAGAAGATCTCGTTCTGCTTCTTGTTGTGGTTGTTCCCAAAATGGAACCACTTGTCCATCCAGGCGGCCACTTTGTCCACAAGAGCCGCCGTCTCCTCTGGCGGCTTGACCGCGGGGTCCATGGTCAGCAACTCCTGGTGAGATTTTCTCCTCTCCCCTTTACCGTCCTTACTCTGGTCCGACGCAGTGGTTAGACCCGGTCCAGCTTTGATCCTCTCCCGGAGTTTCTCGCTCTTCACGCACCTGCTCCAGGACTCGAAGGCTACCTTGAAGGCTTTTAGGAGGTACACCACCATGGCACGGGCCAGCACCGGGTCCCGGCAGAGGAACGCGTGGCACACGAACACCTCCGAGGAGGAAGCTTTAGCGGACTTGAGAGCCTTGAAGTCCTCCACGTTGTTACCCTTACAGTTCACTGAGGCGCTGCCGTTGCTGCCGTTCAGGCTCCCGTTCCCGCTCCCTCCACTGTCCTTATCCTGGCCTTCTGACTTATCTGCCTTATCGGTCACACGGGGCTGGTACGTCGTCACGATGGTGAAGACGTTCTGGAACACCTTGTCCGCCGCGCCGTAGGTCACCGAGTAGATCGGGATGAAGGTCTCCCGTCCATTGCCCTGGCCGGACTTCTCCGTGACCCATATCCCCCGGCTGGAGATGGTCAGACTGACCGTCTGGAGTTCACATCCGTGAGCCTTCTTGACCAGATCGCTGACCACGGACTTGGTACACTCCCGGCCCATCTTGGTCCTGGTCAGGCTGCGGCCCAGGTAACGCACGTCAAAGAACGGAAGTTCGTTGTTTAATTCCAACTGAGCCTTCTTCTTACTCTTGCGACCCAACAGGCTCGCCATACTGATTCCTCTAGATTTCCCACCTGTTGAATACCATCAGTAATCCGTCTCTTGATGGGAATCCCAACTTTCCCTTTACTTCCTAAAATGTAATGTAAGTTTGAAAGACAAGATTTAGTATCTCACTCAGTTATTATACAGTTTGTCCCCAAAAAAGGTGTCCGTCAGACTGTTTTTGAAATAACTACAAAACCATGAAGTCCATTTTGAGGCCAAGGATAAGAGGTATCTGCACAATCCAAAATTTTCAAAATTGACTGCATGGTTTTGTAGTTATTTCAAAAACATTCAGACAGACACAGATACTGTAGTGTATGCAAAACTGTGTGTCTGGAATGACACCAAGACACTACCTTCTGGTATTAGAAAATAGCATGAGCATGGGAGCATGGATGTTGAACATTTTGAAAAAGTGAACTTGAAAACCAAAAAAAAAAGAAAAAAAAGTGTCCATTATTTCCATGAAAATTCACAGACAGTACAGGGACGTTCGCTTTTCATGGGCCAATTCAATGTGTAAAGAACTGGACGATTTTTCTACAGACCGAAAGGTCATGAAAATCAGAACTGAAAAGTCCTGTCAAAGAAATGCAAAGAATCAAAGGCACAGGTCTACCGAATTATTCTGGTTCATTCACACGACAGAATGCGCAAGCTCGGCATTCCTTATCAGATCAGACCCAATACAATGATCCATTGAAACCAGGATATTTTTGCCCGTTCGTGTTTCTCTCTGAAGGACGGTGGGATCAATGGTACAAAATTGCAAATGGCAAACGTCACAAGTTGTTATAACTACCATGCACCATGCAGGGTGAGTCAAAAAGAAAGTGACCTGGATTATTTATTTCTTTCTTAAAAAGCAATCAAATTTGATACCCAATGAAATATGTCTTAAAAGAGTTATTGAACTGAGTGAGAACTACAGATTACTTACAGGCATTCAAAGAGAGATTTTAATATTTTGAGTCAAGACTGAAACATTATTTTTTTTACTGTCAGATATTGTACTTTCCTTTGCAAGTTTTCGTTGGAAAACGTCCATGTTTCATTGTATTTAATGGGTATTCATCAGTTCGTAGAACGGTGAATGATCAGTGGTTGGACAGCTGAATTTTGTGATTTTTTATTGCAATATACATAACTAGGGAATAGAGTGTGCAAATTACGAGACATTTTCACAGTTACAAGTCAATATCATGTACTTTATCCCTGTGTTATTTTTAATGAATTGGAGAGAGCCACATATTTTTAGAGATATTTTTTCCTAATTCGATAATGCATAGCCTATGCTAGATTTTACGCCTTGCGTTTTATTTCGTAATATTATTCTTGGCAAACTGTGGCATTATTTGTGTGCGTACTGGCTTTTATATATGTTGCATTTGAAAGTTAAATTTATGTTTAACCCATTTACCGTTCTGATCTATAAATTTTGTTCGGGGCGTTGACAAAAGCACAGCATGGATTTGAAAGGGTCAGCCGTCCATTATGTTCGGCTTGAATGGCTACTGGAATGCCGGCTTGCTCTGTTCCGCGTCCGCCGATCTGTCATGCTGTCGATCGCTGTTCAATGTCGACTGTTCCTGATAATCTCCGCATGGCGGACTATTGAACTAGTGAAATTAGCTTGCGGGTACCGGTACACCATGGAAAAAAAGGAAACTCTGTGTGCTCTGTTCGTCTTCGGTCGAAAAGAGCAACCTGTTCGAAACGTCGAAATCCACCACTACGAAAGATATATTTTCCATATACCGCAAACTAATTTCACTACTATCCGCAATGTTTCAAGCACAAGACCATGTCGTATAGACCGTGCCAGAAACGGTTGTCTCGACTCGAGCTACGTCTATGTTTGTGATCAGCATGTTTTTTCATGATGTTGTAATCACTGAAGACATCGACATTAGACTCATACACAAGCGCTTCGGACGGGGTTTATAGTTGTAAAGTGCATCAGACGCCATTAGACGCCACTTAGTGATTTCATATGATACAATCGTGGATTCCTGACCGTATGAAACGAAGTATATTTTACGCATAGGCCCTACTATAACAATGAGTTCGAACGTTTCAAGACTTAATTGTCTTGTTTAGCAATATCAGCATTTTTGTGGTATAATCATCTTTATATACGACATACAGTCTCAGCAAGTTCGTGCAATGAATGTCACATACAATTATTAGTTTTGTGGCTCTGAAATAATGGTGTGACAGTTGAACTGATTAATATTTGAAGGAATGGGCGAGTTTAGTTTTGCCTTGAAATAAATGTTGTCTCTTTTTGCCATTAAAACCCTCATATGGAAACTTGCATTGTCAGCCTTGTTATTACTTGCGTCAATATTGGTCAAGACCCCCATTGGTTTGTACACAGTATGCCAGGAGGATAGATACAAACTTTTTGACCATTGGTGACCTCTTAAATAGTAGGAGGGTTAAATAATTGTGCGCGTGCTATCTGATGTAAAAATGGGGCAATATGCAGCATTGCTTTAATCTCAATCAGTCACTTACATGTCATATACATGTATAAGGGATGTGCTTTAAAAGACCTGTTTTGAAGTAATAATTGTTTTGTCTTTATACGTTTCAAGTTATAAAAAAGCATATGTAAGCTGCAATATGGTAGCCGTACTAATTAGACTATTAAAAAGACTGTGTTTAAGGTGCCACAGGGGCGTATCCAGCTTTCGATGGGGGGGGGGGCAGCAACCGCACTCCCGCGCGCCGAAATACATCGGGGTTTTTCTCCGGACGTGAGGCCTCCGTAACATCAAAAAGCGGGGGGGGGGGGGGGGGGGGGGGGGGGGGCTGGCTATCCATCTTCCAAATGGGGGGCCTCCAAACTGATATTATGACATACTGGAGAATATATGTCGATTTTCATGGCGCATTGTATGGTTTTGGAGCTTGGTTTTCTTTTCTTTTTTCATGTCAGAACTTTCTAACCAAAGGCTTTTGAGAAAAAAAAAATCGCCGGGGGGAAAGGTACCCCCCCCCCTGGATACGCCACACCCCATAAATCACGTATACACCAACTTTAAATCATCAGCTTAACCTTAGACGTTATAGGCACGATATGCCCGTACCAATACGTTTTGTGCATAAACGCGAAATCTGCAACCAAACTTTTATGCTTGAACAATTTTGGCACGATCGCATCCGGACAAATCGACGGAAGTTGTCGCATTTCGCAGCTGCCATAACACAAAAAAATGGAGCAACTGTGTTTATAGGCCGGTCGATAATTTGTTACGGCACGTGTCTGACTCATTAATACGCGCCATATTCATGTCGTAGCTGTGCACATGGATAAAACAAAGCAATACTCATTCCGACCAACACCCAATACTGATAGACTGTGTAACATTAATGGCTTACATAGTTCACATAGATTTTTAAAGGTTTATAAGAAGAGCGATCACTGTTAATTATTGCTTTCATCCCCCACATTACTGGTCCCAAATGATAATAACTGCACTTAATTAGTTTAATTACATGCTTAGATTAATATCAATTATATGCCCCCAAAATCGCAATTATGTACATCCAATCTGTTGGTTATTCAACCAATCTGTTTTTAGGGTGTATATATATACGTCTGTATCCCAAAGATTAATCGATTTGTTAATAAAGAAATCCTTATGATTAAAACAAAATGAAAACGGTAAATGAATTAAAGAGCGACTTTTGTTATCGTCAATTATAATGAACCAGGCTTTGTAAAACATGTAAAGATTGGCATGTAAACTTCCAATGGTTACATAATACGGGGACGTAAAATACACACAAACTGGGCCATTTTGTATTCCGTTGTCATGGAATAGTCGTGTTTGCACCGCTATAGCTGGCTCAGATAGAAAACAGATAGGTCATTATTCTTTTCAGAGGCAACAAAACGAATCATTTGATATTATTAAGTAGATCTATCTTCAAAGCGATTTTCAATTTCATGTTATATACATGTATGACTTAAAAATTAAAACATTAGGCCTTGGCAAAATATTATACCATTCATATACCACAGACATCCATGGGCGTCGCCAAGATGGGGCAAGCACCCCCCCCCCCCCTTGTAAAGCAAAAAAAAAACCACCAAAAAAACAATAGGTGTGAATTCATATTTGCCATTAATTTTAATACACATTTACAAAATGGGCGTCTGCATGGGTGTCAATGGGGGTGGGGTGGGTAAATGTCCCCCGCCCACCTCGAAAAAAATATGATAAATTTAGAATATGCTAGAAAAAAGTATACCGTTAGGGAAAAAAAATGCTTCCCCCCCCACCCCTAGAAAAATCCTGGCGACGCCCATGCAGACATCACATACAGTTGAACATGTATAGGTCGTCTGCATATGGATGCAGTCAAGCACCGTGCATACATGACGACTTACTACAATATATACTGTTTACACTTGGTCAATTGATGTTTTCCACTAAATTTGCATATGTGTATACAAATGAAGTCTGAATATGTCTTATTTGTCCATTACGATTGTATATTACGACTTACCAGTTTATAGCAGGGGTCCTTTGCTTCAACAAGACATGATTCCTTCGATAATGGCGATGATACGTAATGTGCCGTCTGCCTATAACTACCCTGTGTGGCACATTTCAAAACACAACTGCGTAAACGGCCCGCATCATGGTATGTCGCAACCAAAAATTGTTCATCCAAGTTGTTTAACGATAGAGCTGATTTAGAACAATCCTATGGTTTGACGTGGTTGGGAGAGAGGATCTACTATACATGTAGTCGCACCTTCAAATACTCCCATTAAATAGTGTGGAGAAGCACGCTATCGATTCTATGCTTCTAATAACATGACACACTGTGTGTACTTCGATACGGCGATCCCGGTGGCCTTGCAAACAGGAAAAAA